CCTCTTCGATGTTCTGTATGTAAACCCAACCAAAAGGATGTCAGGACACAAGAGCACAGCAAGAGAAGCGTGGGTAAAACTAATAAAGGACCGAAGCCAAGCGCGTGTGCTTCGTGTAGCACCACGAGGCAGCAAACGCCTTGGCGGCAAATTATCAAGCACTTGCTGGGCGTTCCAGCAGGCACCAGCATGGCAACCGCCGCATCCCGCGTTGGATCGCCGTCTAGACGCGACGCGATCGAGGTTGAAACTTGAAAGACGCCGCAGCGACTGTCCGGACGAAACACCCGGCCCCAGGCCCCCAGCATGTGAGCAGAGCAGTGGCTCTCGGCTAGCTATCCGACGCGAGCGTGGGGAGGTACGAGATGTCACGGATGCGCGTACCTCGATGATGTCGACATGGAGGTCGTGGTGGTGCTCGGACGCGCTGCCGCCGAAGTAGTGCCGCGACACGCTGGTCATACGCGCGGGGGCAACGGAAGCGGCCCGGCCACCGGAGCCGCCGCCTTCCATCGCGACGCCTGTCTAAACTGTGCATCTCGCAGCAAACCGCAGGGAGGACGAAGCAAATCGTTGCAAATGAACAATAGAGAAAAAATGTTATTTGAATTATTGACAAGTTTGGGGATGTAGCTCAGATGGTAGAGCGCTCGCTTAGCATGCGAGAGGTACGGGGATCGATACCCCGCATCTCCATTTCTATTTTTTTATTTATTTCCATTACCATTCTAAATATTTAATTTTTTTCCCTTCAGCGCATCTCCATTCTATTTATTCCTTTTTTTTTTCTAGGGCAGCTCTTTTTATTCCCTTTTTTTCTATGGCAGCTCTTTCCATTACTATTCTAAATTTTTTATGTTTTTATTTTTTTCCTTAAGTGCATCTCCATCCTATTTTTTTTATTTCGCATTCTATTTTGTATTCCCTTTTTTTTTCCTGTCATCAAGTCAGTTCAATGGGGTCTTCCAGTTGAGGTAAAAAATTATAAGATCTAAACAAAAAAGTGGTCTGGTGTCCATATGTACAGATTTGTGTGGGATCGATATAACTTTGTCACTGAAAATATATCCAGTGCTCATTTTTATTTTCCACTGATATTTTAAGTTCGGTACGTGACCTAACGCTTGCTTAGCTCTCTCTCCCTGAAACTGCACTGCAGTATGTTTTGTCAACTTAGTAATTGTGAGGATATTTGTATTTTCGTTTCGTAAGAGAATGGATGTGACATGCATGTGAGTGACATCTTCCGGTTGGATCGAATTCCAGGTTCTTCCGAGTCATCTCTGGTGTCCGTCAACATGTATAAGTGTACTTGCTTCAGTTGGAAACTGAAAAAGATAAACTGCACTGGACTCATAAGTTACATATATAGAGAAAATGTGGCAATATTTATGGTCTAGACTAGGAGGTGTTTGATTCGGTGACTAAATTTTAGGAGGTATCACGTGAGGATATTGCACGAGGTGTTCGGATATTGATAAAAAAAATAAATTACAGAATCCGTCGGTACTCCACGAGACGAATTTATTAAGCCTAATTAATCCATCATTAGCATATGTTTACTGTAGCACTATATTGTCAAATCATGGATCAATTAGGCTTAAAAGATTCGTCTCGTAAATTAATCGCAAGTTGTGTAATTAGTTTCGTAATTAGTATATTTAATACTTCGTACATGTGTCCTGATTCCATTCGCCAATCAGTAACACTGACACCACGGATGGGAAGATCCCCCAGCTGAACCAATCATACAGCTCCCTGAACTCGTCAACCTTGGCCTTAACTTTCTTAAGCTCCCTGCGAAGGCTAGTCGCGGTGTCCTGCCATTGCAATGCATTAGGATCAGGCGTAGTTCAGAGCTATCACAGCCCAAACGTACCGAAAGTTAAGACAAATTTGAAGCAGAAATAGAACGGAAAGCAAGACCACCGAGACATTTATTTACGCTGTAAATTTACGTTGTACTCCCTCCATCCCAAATTGTAAGTCATTACGCTGTAATCATTCAAAGTCTGAGAAATTTTTCAAGTTTGACCAAATTTATATAACAAAATAATAATATTTATCATACCAAGTAAGTATCATTAGATTCTTCATTAGTTATAAATATATCTATTTGATGTTGTTTCTCTATAATTTTAGTCAAACTTGAAAAAGTTTGACTCTCCAATATTCTTGGAATGACTTACAATTTGGGATGGAGGGAGTAAATTTTAAGTTGACTATGGACTCCTTAATCTACCCCATCCTTTAATGTAAGTGACATCACAGTATTCCGCTATCGCATGCTACAGCCTACAGGCAAATACTCCATTTACAATTTTGCATAAACTTTGAAACTGACTACAGCCTACTTATGAACTGAAACTCCATCAATCAGACAAAAGAAACAAGGGCCGTCGTGGGGTGAAGTAGACACCAAGTGACCAAATGGTGTCCTTAATTTACTCCTACATGAAAATTTTGAGTTGACTATGGACTCCTTAATTTATCCCATCGTTTAATGAGGGTGGCATTACAGTATTCCCCTATCTGTAACTGTAAGTAACAACTATTGGCACTACAGTACAAGGCTGGCATGCTACAGGCAAATACTACTCCATTTACAGATTTGCAAAAACTCGGAAATTAACTGGCCGGATTCTCGAATTGCCTCGTCCTTGCATGGTCTGGGATGGATTGATGCACGCGGACAATTTTTTTTTAAAAATTACGAACATAGACAGACCTTAAGACGGGGGGAAATAGCTCTTTCAAGGACTAGCTAGCTACGAAATGAGAGATGGAAATCGAGGCACTCACGGGTGGAGCCGCCGTCGTCAGGGAGGGCGCCGCCCGCGGCCGCGCCAGGTGGCGGAGGAGGGCGACGGAGCGGGAGCGGATGGGCATCTCGATCGCCGGCGCCCGGAGCTCGTCGATGCGATCGATGAGGCCACTCACGGTCACGGGTGGAGGAGCAGTCAGTCACACCGCACTCCTCCCCAATAACCAGATGCCTGTTGCGTTTGGAACATGACAATTTTAAGTTTAAACACTTTTTTTTTTTTTTTGGGGAAAAGGTTAAACATTTGTTAGGTGCGATGTCCGTGACATTCCGTCTTGAGCATGATTGACGGTGCTTTGCAACGCAAACCACAAAAATCTCACGACATTTTTTTTGGTGAGCAAATCTCACGACATATTTGGTATTGTTTGATGATCCTCGTCAAAGCCAAAATAAAAATGTGACGATTCATGTCCATGTGTTGCCAGATTTCTTCCCTACGATGGTCATTAAGAATTCTTCAAATTAAACCCTCCATTTCATGTAGAGAGAATTCATGTACCTTTGGAAAAATGGTGATTTACCTATTTGACATTCACTTCAACTTTCAAAAATACCGTCAAATCAACCAATAAGCATTAAAAACGTTTTTGCCCATAGAAAAAAAAAGCGGCGAAGTAAATTTGAGAGGAAAAAAAAGCTGCGGCCGCCTCGTGAAAGCCTAGCAAAAAAAGAAGTTTTTTTTCCTCTCAAATTTGCTTTGCTTTTTTTTCCAAGGGCAAAAACGTCTTTGAAAAAGATTAACACCGTTATTTGGATTTGACGGGAGTGTCAAATTATGGATGAAAGTTCCAAATGAACGAAAGAAATTTTGAATGTCAAATAAAAATCTCTCTTTCATGTATGCATGGGTGATTTACCTAGTGACCCAAAAAATATCTCAACCAATAAGCATGAAAAACATAGTTAAATACACGTGGCACAGTAAAAGTAGCTAGAATTGTTTATACTTGTCACAGTAAAAGTACTTGCTGTAGGAATTAAGTCATCTCCATGAATATTTTGAACAAATTAATCCATCTCCATGAATATTTCGAAAAACATATCACGGCAAAAATCAATGACAGATGCAATGTAAAGCAAAAACTTGGGGTAGAAAAAGTACATGTTTCAACTTTTGCTGATTTGTTGTGTTATATTTGGCTTATAATATTCGTTGATATTTTCTCTCTTACCAAACCGCCAGAAAAATACTTTCAACCATGGCTTATAAGTCAAACCAGCCCAAGCGAACATGGCGTTAGACGGATCAATGAACAAAAAGGCCATCATGATCTCCCTTGCAACAAAATGGTCATAATGATCACCCTCGCTCCAAGTTGAAAATGGTATGTGTACCGTTCCTACCCAACAGACTATATCCAAGTAGAACTACATCCAGTATATACATGTTTTGTACAATTTTATCAATTTTTCAATCCTTTTCACCCCCACCAGACTGACAACAACTGACATCTAGGTCCAGATAGCTCAATTGTCTCTATTGCGAGGGCTTACGACTCATGAGGGTCTTCATTCTTTACAGAGAAACTGTAAGGTCCACCGTAAGGAACTCTGGTGCTGCTCTCTGCCAATATGATGTTAGCTTCAAGATCGTGTAGAATTTCAGACATTTTGTGCCGCAGAATAGGATTCATTTACGTACACTACATTGGATGATCATGCCAACCGAACACTCCAGCTCAAGAATATGAAATGGACTGGCAAGCACGTTCGCTGTTTCCTGGCATGAACTAGCTGGCCCGAAAATTCATAGGATAGGAGCGAACAAGCCTGCATTCCATTGAACAAAACTGCAGAAAGAATGAGAATCTGAGGCTAGCTAACCTGTTGGCTGTTTCCTAGCATGCATGAACTGGAGGTGCAGCTCTTTCGGAATGAATAGGTGCAGGTTCAGTCAGCCTCTGGTCTGAGCAATGAAGAACGATTCAGTATTACAAAGGATCAAATGGCTCAACTGCAAGCAGATAGAATACTACATATAGCAGAATACCCTTACTACAAGTTAGTGCTCTCATGGCAACGAGCTTACTCCTCTGATGAGAGTATCAACGTACATACAGACATCAATCATCTACGTTATCATAAGACTGCCTTAACCCTTCTCAGTTGCAACCGCTAAAAATGCTGACTACGCATGTTAATTCCTCATGTCACGGGACGGAGCATACAATGGCTAGCGTGGATCAAGTTGAGCCCCCACGCAGGACGTGCCATTGGTGACGGTCGGCTCAGACTCAGGCTCAGAGGCAGGCATAGCAGAGCTTGATGCCGTCGTCGCGGAAGCCGCCTTCTTCTTCTCCTTGAGCATGGCGACGGTCGGCTCAGACTCAGCCTGAGAGGCAGGCATAGCAGAGCTTGATGACGTCGTAGCGGAAGCCGCCTTGTCCTTCTCCTCCTTGAGCATGGCGACGGTCGGCTCAGACTCAGCCTCAGCCTCAGAGGCAGGCATAGCAGAGCTTGATGCCATCGTCGTGGAAGCCGCCTTCTCCTTCTCCTCCTTGAGCTTGGTGACGCTCTCCTTCAGCTCCTTGATAGAAGCGTCCTGATTCCATTCAACAAGCAGTAACACTGCCACCACGACCGGGAAGATCCTCCTGATGAACCGATCGTACAGCCTCCTGGACTCGACAACCTTGGCCTGAACTTTCACAAGATCCCTGAGAAGGCTAAGCTCCCTGCGAATGCTGGCCGCGGTGACCTGCCATTGCAATGCATTAGGATCAGGCGAAGTTTGGAGCTATTACAGTTCACAGCCCAATCGTACTGAACCTTAGGACCTCTGGGCCAAATTTGGAGCGGAAATAGAACAGAAAGCAAGACAGCCGAGAAACACGCCACTCCTACTGACGAACTGAAACTCCCATCAATCAGACGAAAGAAACAAGGGTGAGAGCCCGGCAACTGGCTTCGCCTGACGGTTTTCAGTGTTTTGCTTGCCCGTCGTGGTGTGAAGCAGACACCAAGTGATCAGATGGTGTCAATATCATTTTTTTTATTGAAATCATGATGCAAACAACCCCCAGATGTTTATTTACTCCTACATTGTAAATTTTGAGTTGACTATGGACTCCTTAACTCAATTTAATTTATCCCATCATTTACACCCTTTTCGCCATTTTTTTTTGGTTTATAAGTCGGCTGATGCTGTTTTGTTGGGAGAGAAAAACACTATATCATGACTGATACGATCAAGCGAACAGGTGTAACAAGGTGGCATCACAGTATCTGTAAGTAACAACTGCTGGCACTAGAAGGGTGGGCATGCTACAGGCAAATACTACTCCATTTACAGATTTGCAAAAACTCGGAAATTGACTAGTCGGATTCTCGAATTGTTGCCTCGTCCTTGCATGGCCTGCGATTGATTGATTGATGCACACCGACATAAATAAAATCCCAGCTCTTTCGAAGGCTAGCAACGAAATGAGAGGAGGAAACCGAGGGCACTCACGGGTGGAGCCGTCGACGCCGCCCGCGGCCGCGCCAGGTGGCGGAGGAGCGCGACGGAGCGGGAGCGCATGGGCATCTCGACCGCCGGCGCCTTGTGCTTGTCGATGCGGTCGACGGCAGCGAGATTGGAAGACGAAGGTGCCTCCTAGTCCTAGCCTAGGGGTTTAGGAGGGAGAGCGTCCGGAGAGTGGGGGACACGGTCGGTCAGTCACACAATGTGGAGTGCGAGAATCTCCAGATCCCCTGTCCGGGAGAGTGGGAGACTGGCCCGTGAAGGCTCTGATCTAGATTGTAATTTGTTCCGTGTTTTATACTCCGTAGTACATAATTTTGTATTTATAAGAAAATCAAAATGATTTATAATCTCCTATAAATAAAAGAACAAAGCGTGGATACTTTTTGATACAATATTTAGTTTTGGGTCTGCCTCTTCACCCCCTACGACCGCGACTTCCCCGTGCGATCCCTCTCCGCGTCGTCCCTCTCTCTCCTTCCCTCTCGCGATCGATCTGATCCCTCGCGTCGTCGTCCTTCTCCATCGCGCACCGTCCGCCTCTTCCCCTCGCGCCGTCCTCCACCTCCACCACACGCCCTCCGTTTCGCCCCGTGCCGCCCCTCCCTCTCCCTCTCTCTCTCTCCTTCCCTCTCACACTCGGATCTTGCTCAGCACTCGCAGAGGCGCGCTGCGATGGGCCTCACAACGAACCTTTATGGCGGAGCACAGCAGCAGGGGGACACCGTCGCCGCACCCTGAGAGGAACTCGGGACCCCACGCCCGTCGTTGCTGCTCGGTAAGAGAAACGGGGGTCGTCACGTGCCCTAGGGCTGCCTTCCTGCTCCAATTTGGTACCGGTAGTTCGATTTTGTTTTTCTAAATGCCTTCGTTTGTGTTGCAGGTACTATTCGACTTGCTTCATAGGTCACCATGAGGTAGGCTGTTGCGCAGCTTCGTGCTGCTCAATTAATGTGTGTGCCAGTTGATATGGTGTTCAATCCACAAACGCCCACCACGCCAAGGTCATCTACATTACAGCAAGTACGCCAGGTTTGTGCTTCCTGGGATTCAATTTATATGTGTTGGCTGTTTAGTTATTTTGTACCAACTAATTTTAGGTTGCCTGCAAAATGGATCTGTAGTTGGCGATGCGGAATATTTGTCGAGGCTATGGAGGCCCTCTGCATGTATGCTCCTCTTTAATATTTGACAGCCTGCATTGATCTTAGAAATAATATTCTTCATGGATTCACCATAGATGTAACCATATGGTTTGGTAGGATATGGTCTTAGAAATGCATCCTTATAAGATTTCAACGGTAATTTTACCATCTATGTATGTATTCTTGCTAATTAATTAATTTGGCATCATTAGACTTCTGGTCTGAACTTTTCTAACTCAGTGTGCAAAATAAAGCAAATCTCTCTCCATCTTCATCTAAATAATGTGTTTTAGATTAGAAGATGCCTACCAGGTTGCCTCATATTGTATTAGAAAGTTCTCTGAGATGAAACTTGTGAATTAATTTCGGAAGATGTCTGGCTGGATGCTTTATGAATTTGTTTGACGCTACACAATAAGATTTTGGTCCCTGAAAAGAAAAATACTACCTCATGGAGATGGAATAGCTTAGTGCTGATCAAACTAGAATTCAGCATCAGTAAGCACATATTCTAGATTAAGAATTTATTTTATGGAGGTGCTTAGATGTTTAATAACTCTGGTCATGATACAACTTTCTTTGTTATTATTCTATTTACTTTTTGAGGAAGCAGTACTTATCTTTTGTTCCAGGGAGAATAGAGCACCAGCAGCAGCATCTCCAACATCTTGAAAGTTTTCATTTAGTGTCGTCGCCGCTGTGATTTCTGGTTTTGATAAGCACCTATGTTTATCAGTAGTTGAGGCTGCACAGTTGTTGGAGGAGGCAAGGGCAGTTCTGGAGTAGGAGTGCGGTGCTTCTCATCCTGATACTGTTGGTGTGTACATTAACCTTGCTGTAATCTATGATGCCATGGAAAGGTCGTTTCATAACTTGTTCTTCTGCAACCTAGAGTCATTTTTAGCAACTAAGACAACAACGCAACACTTAGCTGGTGCTTGAAAGCTCCAGGAGCTATTGCTTTTGGACACACCTCTGCTGCTGCATCAGGTTGCTACTGAATTTACCTGACCATGCTTGTCTGGTTGTTTCGTTTAGCTACTTTGGGGGTGCACAGATTATACTTGCTACTAGACACTGACCATGCTTGCATTTTCATTCATAGTGCATAGATAGTTTCGGATGCACTTCCAAAGATTGTTCCTTATGTGCTCATATGAACGCCGGAGCTGTGGCCAAGTGCAGTGTAAGCTACATTCTACCTGCTATGTGTTTGTTAAAATGACTGCACATAACTAGATGCTAAATTAGCCCTCTTGATTTAGAACACATGTTTGTGCCAGTTCACCCCTCCCATTAACTACCATCTCCACCACATAGTTCAATGCCATACTGTCAAGGAAGATGGCATATTCAGATTTCGTGAAATACACTAGCAAATCTGTAGTTGCTTGTATTGTGACTCTATCCTTTAAAACTTCATTCGTGTCAAGATATCAGCTATTCTATTTTTTAGTACCAAGTAGAATGAATATGAAAACTATATCCAGAAAAGGTATGCATACACAAAGATAAGTATTGAATTTGATTTAATTCAAAACATTGCTTTAGATAGTGGTTTTGGTTTTATAAAAGTGCATATTTCATTTTTTTACTGGAGTGTCCAGACGTCTGCTGCCGTTAGTGTTCATAGGAAAGGTAATATGTAATGTTTGCAACTGTAACCTCGGGCAGGATGCATCGAAGGTGGCCCTGGGCAAGGAGGCTGACGCAGTATGAACCTGGAAGGAGGTCAAGCCTGCAAGCAAGGTCGCTGACATCTCCAATCATGCAAGAGCAAGGATGCCCTTGCTAGGACCCAATATATGAGCTCACAATGGTTACTGTGAGTGAAACTGAAACCTACCTCTCATGGTACTTCTGATTTTGGTAGTAATTGTAAGAAATTAATTACACTATGGATTGACTATTTATGATGCATCGTTTCGGTGGAGGTGAAATTTTATGATGTATTGAGCATTTAGTTTCCGAATCCACAATTTTTCATTTAAACTCTATATTTTATTTGTGACATTTGAAGAAAACAATCATTGCAATTAGTATTTCGTATATGAGTTCCCAAATATTTTTTTGGCTGCTGCTAAGTGTGAAGATCATCTTTACTAACACACTAATTTTTTTAACCTTAACTCTTGCTTCATAAGTACGTATCTACATTTTCTTTATGTAGAGATAGTATTGGCATTTACTTTATGTAGAAATAGTATTGGCAATCTGCATTTTTTTCAACACAAGACCTGAAGGATCAGCAAGAGCAGTTCCTCTTTGATGAAATGCTGGCATGAACACCTGCAGGGTCGTGGTGTTCCTGGAGGGTGCTGGAAACATGCATGATATCATCCTTGATGGCTCCTTCATGCTTCTGGTGACACAACAGAGTGAGCTTTTAGCCATCTTCGTTGTTCCATAAAGGCATGGTTATGAAAAATTAGGAGCACCATCCCCAGTTTTATTTGTTATATACATCAGTTAAAAAGGAAATTTGGATCACTGATAAATGGATGTAGCTTAGTGTTTTTGACACAGCTAAATAATGATTATAGAGAGCCTTTAAGTTTCATTGGAATGGATGTGATGGTACGAGTGTTTTCCTTGCTAAATTGGATGGTTTGGTTGTGCAAAATAAGGTTATGCAGAGATCTATATATATTTGGTTCGGTTGGAGAGGGTGTGTCGGTGTTTCGAACAAACACCGGCGAGTGAATTTATAATTGATGCACGTTAGGCCCGGATGGTGTGCTAAAGGACACAAGGTTTATACTGGTTCGGGCCGAATGTCCCTACGTCCAGTCCACTGCTGCAGCTTGTATTATTAGCACCAAATATGGTTCGTAGTAGGGGGTACAAACGGTCGAGAGAGGGACGGGTCCCAGGTCTCTGATGGAGGGGTCGAAATGATGCTAAGGGCCTGGCGGCGACTTGGCTGGGTGTGCGTGGAACAGAAGGCTCTATGAGCTCGTCTGTATGTGAGTTGTCCGTTGAAAGTCGATTTGTTCGGTCCCTCCCTTCATATGGAGCCTTGTCCTCCCTTTTATAGACAAAGGGGGGGGGGAGCAGGGGTTACAGGTGAAAAATACCAAGGGTATAGAAGGTCCTTCGAAGGGCTCGGGTCTTCCTTTTCCTCCAAGCCAGCCTCAGACACGACCAGCTGGTGTCAGAGGTTGGCACGTTCGCCGGGTACTTGTGTGCTGATGATGCTGCGTTCTACAAGTGGTCACGTCCCATCCCGCCTCTGCAGGCGACATGTCGGGCAGGAGTGCCGGCCTACGATACTGTGGGGGGCGAATGGTGCGGCACCCGTACGCTTGTCAGCATTGGGGACGTGAGTCCTATTGCGGTGTTTGTGTTAGGCTCCGTGCTCGAGGGTTGAAGGCGGCACCCACAATACTGTAGGCCGTAAAACCCGGCGCCTACAGTACTTCTCAGGTTCTGTCATGTCCGGCAGGGCCTAAAGCGCTCGTCCCGTCGTACTTCGATGGTACTTGTCAGTAGAGCAGGGCATGGTCCTTGCTTCCGTGGTTTGACCCTAACGTCATGTCTTGCCCTGTTCCTACCATCATGGAGGGGCAGGATGAGGATGTCGGGTGAGGCGGTGCTCAGCCCTTGTTGGCCGGACGAGGCGGAGTCCGGCCCTCGGGGGTCGGACGAGGCGGAGTCGTTGCGCTCCTGTTCGATTGGGAATGTCGTTGGTACTTATCAACTCTACCTCATTGGGTATCCCAGTATTAGATCCCCGATAGTAGCCCTGGAGCCTCTGGGTGATTCGGGTAGAATCGCCGGGGTTGTCTCGGCTTGCTAGAGAGTGTTCGGGTTTGCCAGAGGGTGCGCGCGAGCGCACCTGATGGGTGTAGCCCCCGAGCCCCCGGGTGATTCGGGTGGAATCGCACAGGGGGGTGTCTCGGCTCGCTAGAGGGTGTT